TGGCGGTTCAAACCCACCAGCCACTCCTTGGAAGGAAAATGGGGCGATCTACTTCCGTAGTGATGCTGCCTCGGAAACCCAAGGAGGGGTCACTAGGAGTCAGATCCAACTCCATGGCATTGAATTTGGATTTGGGAATATAAAGAAGACACACACACACATTTTCCCCCCAGATCTGAGTTAACAGCACATGATTTTTTTCCAGTTTCTCAAAAGTACAGTAATTACAGATCATTTATGGGGCCCTGTCAGTTCTAAAATATTATTACTTTATTGAAAACTGTGCCCTCCTGAAGAACGGCCCTTTCCCCAACTGGCCGCGCCCTCCTGTCCCACTGCACCCACCAAGGCTCAGACAAGGCAGGACTTCCTTGTCTGCAAAGCCTTCCTCCGCCTCACTCAGCTCTCTTCTCTAGCTGCCTTTGCAATGAATTTTACTGGAACCGTCCTAACTTTCCAATCTGAGAAAAACTCTTACTGGGAAAAGGGTGGGGGGGACTGAGAAGAGAATGAGGCCCTGTATCCCTGAGGTCTGGCCCCCATCACGCACCAGTAAAGACCGGTGGAAGTAGCCAGAGAGGCTTCAAATCTCCCCGCTACACCCAGAAGACAGAAAAGTGGCATCTTGTCAAAGCCTGGGGCGTTTAGTTCAATGTTGATACTACGAAATACTTGTTGCTTCTTTGCACATGAAAAGTAACAGTAGTATCTTAAGTTACCATCTACTCAAATTTTATGAAAATCCAGGTTCCTCTTCCTACTAGCTTGTAGACGTATTTGCTTTCAAGAGCCCTGGGGGCTCCACGGTTAAGTGCTGAGCTGCTAAGCAAAAGTTTAGGGGTCTGAACCTAGCCAGTGGCTCTGTGACAGAGAGAACCGGTGACCTGCTGCTATAAAGATAAGAGAGTCGAAAACCCTATGGGGGAGTATTGCTTCGTCACATCTGGTCACTATGAACCGAAATCAACGGCGGCACCTAACAGCAGCAACAACATACTTGCCTTATCCCGTCTGGGAGAAAAGAAAAACCCAGTTGGGGAACTGTTGATCTAAACGGCTTGTATTTATCATTGCAAACGGAAAATCTTTCTCCCCGTGTAATCAAACCGAAACCAAACCCACGGCCATCAAGTCGATTCCTGACTCATAGCGACCCCCACTGGGTTTCCGACGTGGTAAGCTTTACGGAAGTAGATTGCCCAGTCTTCCTTCCACAGAGTGGCTGGTGGGTTTGAACCG